ACTATGTTCGAAATGGGTTTGTTTTGTTCTGCCCCTCAATCAGAGAACTTGGCTGGCACATCCTTTCTTCTACGTCTAACCTACATCGCCTACTTATCGCCAGGCCACTCATCGTGTCCTACATCCTATTGAGTCAAACCACATTTCTTCGAGTCACGCCGACTAGCGACGACTGTCGCTGAGATGAGTCGGTGATAAGTCAACGCAGGCTGCTACATTAACGACGCATCATTCGGTTATTCCTACTTGCCACCCTCGAATGCAAACTTGGCCAGAGAGTGACGGTAGAACTCGTATCCTCATAGGAGATATATTATGAGCCAAAACTCATCGTCATAGTAAAGGACTATACAAGACCAGGAGCTGCGAGACTGGCCGCCAGAGGGTCCATGCTAACATCAGTACAGGCAGTTGTTTGTTTTCTTCAGGCGTGACTTGCGCCAATTAGACATCGCCGTTCAGGCTCTCAGCAAGAGCATTCATGGCGTCATAGGATCGAATTTATGATTAGATGGACATGTCCCATTTGATACAGCCTTGCGCCGGAGCTACTAGGTAGTTGTAGGTACGCAATGGGAGTTCGTTCTCAATGTAAGGTCCGATGATGCATCGCTGAAGATTTCTGGCCAGCGAATCATTGGAGTACAAACCATACGACATCACGAAATGCACATAAGGCAGCTCGGTATTATCCGATTTACTCAAAGGTCTCGGGTTTCCCAGATCGCTAAGCCGCTTTTTCGATCAGACCCTCTCCTGAATAGGCTGTTGGTAATGTTTCGTCGAAGCGATCAAGACATCCATAGGCGTTGACATCTGCTGTCGCGGAACTCTCTACAAGACGACATCTAGAATCTGTCGCATACCCTAAGTTATTACCATTTACGTTAGCTTGTTGATAGCTCACTTTTTTTCAGCCGTGGCTCATTAGCCGCCTAGCCTTTGAAGCAATGACTTCTCGGGCACCGGAGACTCGCTTCGCCTTGGAATTCTGCTTGGAGATTCAGTTGGCATGAGGGTGCGTTGCAAACAATCACAATGGACGCGCTACCAACTGTATTATCCTGCCATGCTGGTTACTCAAAGCTTGATAAAGTCTATAGCTATTCCGACCAAAATACGAATGGGGGAACCGGGGTCACCCGTGTTCGTTTTCCGTGTATAAGCGTGAAGCTTTCGTTTGAATGCTGTTGATGTACCCATATCCTGGAGTGATTCCTGCATCGCGGCACAGAGTGGCCGATTACTTGTGGGATTGGCGTCGACGACATTCCCTGGCACCCTATAAGGGCCATAATTTCAACGGCTTTTTGGGTTCGACTGCGTTTGCGCTACCATCGTGCCGCAACGCTATTTCCACGCACCATGCTGGCAAAGTCAGAACAATAGGACCTGGAATGGAATATGCCCCTCATAGTTCTGTGTATATAACAATTCTCATCGCCGCTATCTGGAATTCCTGTACATCTCAGTCCCCCGACACGCCTACAACGCCCACCAATCCAAAACGAGAATACAAGCGACAAACCAACCCCAAAGATCGATATGGATAAGCTGAAGGAAGCAAAGGACTCCATCACCGGCAAGACGTTCGTGTCGTCCTTTTCGTACATCTTGTGAGTCAAGTAGTAATGTGGAAGACAGTGCCGCCGACCAGCCCGCCCATAAGAACCCAAAAGATGCGAATAAAGATACCTTCGCGGACTCTGGCAAGTTCAAGCTATGCCTATAATGCTCTCAGTAATAACAAGTTTAATCAAGCCGTTGATCAATTCGCCAATAAGAGAGGTGTTCCCGCTGGAGCCGATCCTGAGATCAACAAGGTCGTCGATGATGAGGTCAACAAATTCTAAGAGTGGGCGGGCATTGTTGGAACATGGACATCCTATGAGGACGGATACTCTCCACAGTCGCTATACCATTGGAGGCTTCGGTCATCCGTAGCCCTCAATCGATCTCTTGCTTAATTTGTCGTAGACCCAAGCCGTGAACTGAACAGCTTTGGCATCTACGAATCGGGAGCCAAGATCAGCAAGCCAGAAAGTGACAATCCATGTGACAAGAGTCGCAAGGCCGATACCTGCCCCATATTGCCAATATGACTCTGAACCGGTGATTTCCAAAAAGTACCTGGCGGTGATGAACCCCAGGCTGTGAATCAATTGCATGTGCACCAAGTAGAGTGAAAAGGAAATCTTGCCCAAGTACTGAGCCAAGCGCGTAGTGAATGGTCGTTGCAAAAATCGAGAACTATCCAACACAAGAACCAGAAGGATGGCCCCTAAAGGTTGCCAAAATCGGTCCGGGTCTCCAAGCTTGTGGTAATGTTCTGGAATCAAGGCGCTGAGATATCCATAGCCGTAGCTATCAGCTGCACCTTGACCCTGCTCCGGCATGCCGAGAAGGAATAATACGACTATCAAAGCGACAACAGAGAACATTCGGCGTGCTGCACTACTCCTCGATGCCGAAAAGCATAGAAAGCGGTGTGGCGGTTCGTAACAGTCATTGCTGAGCGACCCACGCGATTCTAGTGATCGTTGAGCGAGGACGCTCCTGTCTGCTATAAGCATACCGCCGATGAATAAGAGTTCGCCCCAGTGGAGATACCACAAGGAATACGCCGCAACAAATAATGTGATAAGAATGCGAGAGCCATTTGTGAACCGCGAGAGAGCTAGCAGCATGGCAAAGATCACAAGAGAACTCCTAAACTCTATCGGAAGAGTCCACAGAGAGTCGCTGTAGCGCCAGATGGCACCGTTTGGGAAATAAAAGTCCGATACAGTGAGAATGGCGTTCTTGTAGTCGGTCAGCTGTTCCCAAAGAGTATCGAAACGGGGAGGATTGGTACCACTAACAGCGGCACCGGGCATGCCATCTGCAGGAGCGAATCCTCCCCAGAATGTAATGAAGGGTGCTGGCAGACATATGATCATGGCAGGTATATATAGCCGAGGATGGCGGCGGAAGGTCGATGAGGCTAGCGTCGCATAAACCTTCGCATATTGGCATTTTCGGATAAGGCTCAGGGGTTTCAAGCTCAGGGCATAGCCGGAAATGACAAAAAATGTCATGACGTTGGGTCGGCCCGAAACCATCAATCGGATGATGGGGAGCTGGATGAGATGATCGTTCGAGTCTTTCCAGCCATTGTAGATGGCCCAAGAGAAGTAGATCAGGGTCGTGTGGTGCAGCACCACGAAGAAGGCAGCAACGCCACGGAGGCCATCTTTCGTCTGTTAGCAAGTGGGCCAAATCAGAGCAGATTCGGGGGATTTCTCTACCTAGCCAAGCAGTTGGACGCAGTGGTTTTGGCTCTGATCGAGGATCTGTTTCTTGGAGAAAGCTTGGTAACAAGACCTTGAGTTTTCCCAGCGATCGAAGAGCGGTGTTCCTCTTAAAGCTGTGCTTTTTCAAAGGACTCAATGGATCATCGAAGCTCTCTGCGTCAGAGCTGGACCGGTCTGTTTCGTGATCTTTTTCTAGTGAATCGGATTCGTTTTTGAGCAGGTAGTAATTTGCGATGTTGTCGATCCTCCAAAGTTGCAGATATCTGAGTATTCGGAACATCTTGGTGGCAGTACTCATTCCATGAGCATCGAGCGAAAGTCTGGCATTCCTTGGTAAGAAATGGTATAGATAAAGTGTCCAAGAAAATGGCGGCCGTATTATTTGGGTAGATGTTGCAGTGTCTCGTCCTCGTGCTGAAGTCTATCGCGCCACCTACGAGCCTGTCTCACCTGACCATTATAGGGTATGGTGATATCTTAGGTCTAGGTAATAAAACAAAACGCCAAATCATCCCCTGCCTGAGTGGCACATGGTGGAATCCGAGAACCACCTAAGCATGTCGTCACGATAAGATGGGTTCCCTTGACTGGTTGGGGATAGATTATCCAACTTTTCAAAAGCTCGTGCCGACCTGGGCGTTCTATGGATATTTGTAGCGCTTACCGAGTGATTGTTTTCGGATGTCCGATCAGTGGTGTCGTTAAAAGGGAGGTCAAATCTCTCCCTGGCTGCTGATGTCTCTCCCAAGAATACCGTTGACTGTCAGTGCGTGGCTCTGCGCTAAGGGTGTCTCGTCTAGATGGACACGACAGACGGTGACGTGCCACGAACAATGGCATTTGTCTATGATTAATTAAATTCCAGCTGACAGGTACATCTGGACGTGGCCAGTTTCATTCGCCTCCTACAACCTGTGCAACGCAAGGTTATCCAGGCGTCGATCAAAGCGTCACCATGGGCAAAAACCGTTGCGCAACGTTATTTGATGCGGCATGCTTAAGCGGATCACGGCGTCCCGCGTACCACCAACATTTCTTGCTCTATCTTGCTATGACATGTCAAGCTGACATGGCTATTCCAATATGCTTTGATGGTATCAGGCCATTGAGCTCTGTGCCGAGGAACATGCGCACTGCGAGAGATTACAGGTAGTATATGGGAAGTGCCTGACGCTATGCGACTCAGTTTGTCGTCTCCCCTTTGGTATACATACTATACACGGCCAAAGAATGAAAACTCCTCAGGCACCGTACCACGTCGCACAGACAAAGCGATGTTAGCCGAGATTGCTCATTGTGTCTTGAAGCCGGTGACCAGGACTCATGAATGCCACAGCGGAATGCTGTTACTGAAGTGCCTACGTTAGCAAGATATGGCGGCTATAACGAGTATCATGTGCTAAGCTCACCCTTTGCGATCGGATTTTGGGCCGAATATGCGGAAGGACTGAATGCCATCGGTTCAGGTACGGTAGTTACCTAGAGCTGGGACATCATTGCTCCCTGCGATTCGGAAGTTGCAGGCAACTTAAGCAATCAGCCCATCTCCTTCCAGTCAACGGAAGGCAAGCACGCCTGTGCAGCTACCCGTCGCGCGACTGCCTCATTCTCAAAAGCAGAAGCTTGCGGCCAATTAGAGCGAGCTTAGCACTGTGGAGGTAGGTACTCCTTATAATCAACAATAGTGCGACAGTCTTTAAATAACAAACCATTATCGTCTAGTGGTTTAGGATACTAGGTTTTCACTCTAGGGGCCGGGGTTCGATCCCCCGTAATGGTGTTTTTTGGTCATTTTCACTTTCCTTTCCTTTGACCCAACACTCTCTAGCACAGTCACCACGCTCGGTGCTGTTCGTCTTTTTCCTCTTCGTATCGATATCTCCTGCCCTTCCGTCTCGAACTTGGCCAAGGCGGAGCCGTGACGGATTGCCTCTGTATCTTCTCCTAGTCGCATCAAACCTCATTCACAGCTTAGCCGCTGTCTTCACGGCTCCATTAGCACCACCATTGGGGCCAAACATCGTGCGCAGATCCTTGATCAGATCATCCGGCCGCTCCCACGCTGCAAAGTGACCTCCTCCCTCGTGCTCATTTGAAAAGACGACGTTCCCCATTGCCGGGGACCAAAAGGTGGGCAACACGATGATATCGCGAGGGAACTTGGAAAGACCGATCTTGACGTTTTGGTACTCTAGCAGTTGGTCCCAAGTCGATGCAGGGATACCCTCCTGTTCTCTTTTCTTGCACCTGACGGCATCCTGGTTCATCTCCGTCTCGTAATACAGCTGGTGCGCCGCTCGTGGCGTTGCGGTCGAAAACCAGTAGATGCTAATCCACGTGCAAACCTCATCTTCGGTCCAGGGATATTGATCTGTCCATTCGACGAGCTTTTCGTAGATCCAAGCCAGTAGCCCGGTTGGCGAGTCGGAAAGGGCGTAACCCAGGGTCTGAGGCCTCGTACTTTGAACTGTTCGCGAATTACGGTTAGCACTTCACAGGAGAAGAAAAACGGAAAAACAAGCATGGGCATACTCTTGAAATACCCATTGCCAGTCTTCTGGAACTCCATCGACCGCTCAAAGCCCTTCTTATCCTTCTCCGGGACCCCAGTGACGAACGCCTGAAACATAGTCTTGAGCGCAATGATCGGGTTTCTCAGCAAACTCGGCGTCGGGAAGGCACTCATGTTCAGATGCTGCGCCTTCACGAACTCGGGTGCGTATCGTCGTCCCATTGCCCTTGTAATTCCGTAACCCCACTGCAACAATCTCAGTCAGTAAGCTAGTTACTCGTCTTTGTTTCGAGATCTCAAAAACTGCTCAGCGAACACTTGCTCCGGGGCACAAATAAAACAACTCCCGAGATCTTTCAACAGGTATAAGATACACCAAGCAGATGCTTACATCTCCGCCCTGCGTCGCATATTCTCTATACCCAAGCTTCAGCATGAGTAGATGCATCGTCTCAGCATGCTGATCGATACTAAAACCCGCCTTAGACGAAGCCTGCGAGAACCCATACCCAGGGAGCGACGGCACGACGACATGGAACGCCGGCTGCGACGCATCCTCAGGTTCAGTGAGCGGCTTCAGGATCTTGGTCCCTTCTAGGAAACTCCCAGGCCACCCGTGCACGAAGATAAGCGGCACGGCATCTTCCCGCTTGCTCCGCACGTGCAAGAAGTGAATATCGAGAGCTTCGAAACCCGTCACCTGGATCGAAGTTTTGAACTGCGGCAGAGCATTCAGAGACGCCTCGGCGGCTCTCCAGTCGTACTTCTCCGCCCAGTACGTCGCGATGCGCTTCACGGCCTCGAGCGGTGAGCCCATAGTCGTCCCTACATCGCTCAGTTCGCTCGGGAACCGCGTGCGACGGAGACGCTCGCGTAGATCCTCGAGATCCGAATCTGGGATCGAGATCGTGTATGGCCGTATTCCATCTGCCATCTTGTCTTCCTCGTTCTGTGCCTGAATTTTTGTATTAATGTTGGACACCAGATGTAGTGGATGTAGTGCCGTCTGTTATAGGATTTCTTGAGATCGTCTTTGCATCGGCTTTAGTCCAGACCGCCAGTGTAGCAGCAAGCTTGCTAATCAGGTACGCATGGGAGCAGCATGGATCTGTGCTTTTAGGAACCCTTTTCGGAACCCGTTTACATACCTTGTTTCTCTCACCAAAGTACCAGTCCTGTACCAATCTCGAGAAGATAAACATCGAACACGCCAGCAAAGCCTGCCGGACACTTTTCCCTACATAACGGACACTTTTCCTACGTGCTATGAATGCCGCTTTGGTGGCCTCTCATTCGGTGTCGTATCATTCCTCTGCCATTCCGTCATTCCCGTCGATTGTGGTCAGTCGGACATATCAACCAAGCATCCCGGATCGACAGTTCGCTTCCGCCAGCTCCGCATCTGTTTTGTCAGCATGCGTACTACTACGAAGTTGAGTGACGCTTCGACTCTTCGAGCCCAATTAACCGCCCCGCCAGCGGATACGTCAAGAATTCTGCAACGGCATTGTGCAGATCCTCGATAAGTATTCCAAGACCGATAATGTGCCACTGAGAACGGGCGTCAACTTGAGCCACATACCACGCAAGCAGTCACGGTACAGGAATTATCATGTAGGATATCAGTGATCTTTGATCCTCTAAGTTCATGGTCTATAATGATATGCCAACAAATAATTTGACTTTCTGACCATTTCCCTACTATCAACAAACGCCTTATCGTAGATCATTTCTTGATAACGCACACCATGTGATCTCTACTTTAAACTTCGTTACTCGTATACTCGACTTTCGTCGTCGGGCTAAATTCTTCTTTGATACTCCTGACACTGACGAAGCGACCGAGTAGATTCATGCTGCCAGCCTTGTCGTTCGTACCACTAGCCCGAGCCCCTCCGAAGGGCTGTTGACCAACAACAGCGCCGGTGCTCTTGCAGTTGATATAGAAATTACCTGCCGCGTTGCGAAGCGCTTCTTCCGCAACGCGGACAACAGCTCTATCGCTTGCAAAGACAGCGCCAGTCAACCCATATTCAGTCGTGCTATCGACAAGCTTGCAGACATCAAGGAATGCCTGAGAGCCTGCCGCGTCGTCATATACGTAGGCGGTCAGGATAGGTCCGAAGAGCTCGGTCCTAATAAGTTTGTGAGAAGGGTTGGTGGTTTCATAAATGGTCGGGTGGATGAAATAGCCTTTCGAGCCATCATATTTGCCACCAACTAGTAGCTTGAGCTCCGAATCGCTCTTAGCATCGTCAATGACCCCCGATAGCTTCTTGAAGCTGGGTTCATGAATGACAGGTCCGATGAAGTTCTCAGGATCCCAGGGAGCTCCGATTTTCAAGGCACTAGTCTCCTTGACGAGTTTCTCCTTGAACTCCGGCCAGATTGACTTGGGCACGTAGAGACGACTCGTCGCGCTGCACTTCTGACCCTGGAACTCAAAGGCACCGCGAATGGTCTGAATGACCGCATTGTCAATATCGGCTGAAGAGTGGATCAAATGGAAGTTCTTTCCGCCCGTCTCGCCGACGATACGTGGGTAACTCTGGTATCGGCCCTCAGCGGTTCCCTGGCCAATCTGACCGTAAAGTTTGCGGAAGATAGCAGTGCTTCCGGTATAATGAAGTGCGGCAAACTGCTTGTGTGCAAGAACAGTCTTTGTTACCTCCTCGGGATTACCAGGGACGAACTGGATCACATTCCTGGGCAGCCCAGCCTCGAGTAAGATTTGATACAACAACCAGTTAGAGGCAATTGCCGAGTCAGATGGTTTCCAAACGACCACGTTGCCCAGTAGCGCAGGAGCGCCAGGCAAGTTACCTGCAATTGCAGTGAAGTTGAAAGGGCTCACGGCGTAGACGAAGCCCTCGAGGGGTCTGTATTCAACCCGATTCCACACGCCAGGGGCGTTGTGCGCAGGCTGTTGAGCATACATCTCCTCGGCATACTGGACATTAAAACGTAGGAAGTCACACAGCTCTGCTGCCGCATCGATCTCTGCCTGCCACGCATTCTTACCTTGGCCTACCATGGTAGTAGCCATCACCTCGTATCGATACTTGTTTGCGATGAGATCGGCTGCCTTGAGGAATACAGATGCTCTGTCGGCAAAGGGCATTGCTTCCCACTCTGGTTTGGCAGCCAGTGCTGCGTCAATAGCTTTCGAGACATCGGAGGGCGATGCGAGAGAATAGTTGGCCACAGCGGTGGTGTGGTCAGAGGGGTTGTTTTGCGTCGCTGTTTGCGATGTTCTGATCTATAAAATGGTCAGAGTGTCTGCAATACAACAGTCTCTCCGATAGAGATAGCCATTTCATACCTCGTCGCCTCCAACTACTATCGGGACTTCTACCGCGCCCCTGTTTCGGACTGTTTCGACTGTAGAGAGCAGTCCTTCGCGCTGTGCCGAGTTCTTCGCGTAATGATGCTGATATGCATGTCAATACGTTGAAGTATAGAATACGACACAATCTGGTGTTGTCATTAAAACATACATTCGGCTCGTTTAATACTTTGGGAATCTTGAACGAGGCAAGATGTGACTTCTTGGTGCTAGTTGAGCTCAGTGCCCTTGTGTTCTTCAAGAGGCAAGCTTGAGATACTTGACCCGAGGTGCCCCTTGTTACCGATAGCACGCCGGTGGAGGGCGACTGCAACACCCTTGCGAGACCGCTGCCCCTCCGCGCCGCCGCCATGGTGGATGCGGGAGAGAAGTACAAGCGGACTAGGAATCTGAGGCGTGTGGTTGACTGTGCAATGAAGACCGGATCGAACAAGAGGACTCTCTTCTCCAGTAGAGCTTATTAGGCGTCAAGAGAAGAGGGAAGGGGAAGGATTGCTTCCCTTGCGAATGGGGTGGAATATGCAGCTCGCCTTCTCGAATCTGGAGTTGATAGGTTGAACAGAACTGGTTCAGTGTTCAAGTGATCATGCAGCTTGAGAACGAGAAGGAAAACGCAGCTACTTCAATGGCCGAACAAAGGAAGCTCGCCGGCTGCCATTACTCAGTTCGTCAAGCTTCGACGTGACGAGCAATGAGCAGTGCTCGCTTTGCAGCGGCATAAGAGAGGCTCGATTAGTAAATCGACTAGTGTAGTGGCCGTTGGAGGGGTCTTTTTGCGGGGAACCCTTCCAAAGTTGCAGTCGAGTGTCAATTGAGGAAGCTATCCGGCCAATCAGGTCTGCACTTTCCTGAGCTTCAATCCGAGTTCGGACTTACAAGTTCTAGCCGCCTTCATTCGCAGCTCTCTCTCCCCCGACGTCTT